ATTCGATAAAGCAGGTGAATTATAAATTAACATTAAAGTCAATGCACTTCAGCAGTATTCAATAATAGTGAATGCCTCGGCAGAAGCTAATAAAATTTGAAATGCCAAATATCACATTTTTGCTATAAACTGGCATTCGTTTAAACAACAGGAAGTTAAAATGATTAAATTAAAAAATAATTTATACTCTTATGGATCTTAGTTGTGAAAATAAATGTCGGTGAATGGTGTTTAAAAAAGTCGCATTGGACGTTTTGGCCTTGAGTGTCATAAGCGCGCTTTAGGAGGTTACTGTGTTCTATATCGAACTTCGAAAAACTGTTGTAACATTTATTTATTTAGTTTAAAAAAGAATTTTTAGCATGAAAGATGCACTGTTGTTCACGATATTTGAGTCGAATCCATACATGTGGGAGAATGCGTATCTCTATTTTTCGAATATTTTTCCATTTTAGATTTTGGGTTTCAAAAGCTCATCTGAGTGACAAATGGTTGTGAAAATCGAGTTGAACAGTGCAATATTTGCGTGAAGTTCCAGCGGATATTTGCTGGCTGCGAATTTATTCAGCATCCATAGTAGACATCCATATCAGCAAATATCTCGTAGATTTTGGCATTTGTCCTTTTCAATTTTCATTGCTATGAGGTCTGGAATTTTCTTCTGATTAAGGCCTTCATTGTGTGGAAAGACATCGGCCGGTCCATGCATTGGGAAATCGTTGTCTCCTTCTTAGCAGGCGGTCCATGCATTGCAAAATCGGTGTCCCCTTCTTAGCAAGTGTGTCAGGAATCTCATTGCCTTTAATGCCACAGTGACCAGGAATCCATTGTCGGACCACTGTTTTGTTTTTCTCTCTCAGCAGCTCATAGAGAACCACTGTTTTGTTTTTCTCTCTCAGCAGCTCATAGAGTTTTCTACATTCTATTATCTCAGCTGTTTTGGGTGGCTCTCTGTTTCAAATTGAGGTCTATTATGACTGTGAGTCCGAAAGTATCACCGCTTTGGTGTTTCCTGACTGTGAGTCCGAAAGTATCACCGCTTTGGTAAACCTGACTGTGAGTCCCAAAGTATCACCGCTTTGGTGAATTTAGCTTTTGGGTGTCTCTCTGTTTCCAATAGAGTCTATTGCTCGTCCGGAAGTATCACCGCTTTGGTGAATTTCGTATCCAGGCAACATAATTGTCATGGTGCTATCCTAATGGCCTCTATTTCTCCTTCAAAAGCGACTGTGCTCTCCTGATAGCCTCTATTTCTCCTTCAAAAGCGATTTATTGTGTCCCACTGCTGCGTAGAAAGAGAAGAGTTCAGAGAATAGACACCACACCAACGTTGCTTGGCTTTCTATGTATGACCCATCATTAAAGACTTGGAGCCATTGATGACCAGGATAGTTGACATTGATTGTCTCAAGTACCAGTGAGCCTTTCCATGTATGACCCATCAGTGAAGACTTGGATCCATTGATCTGCATTGATTGTCTCAAGGGCCAGTGAGCGCAATATCATTTTAATCCATTTAATTTATAAATCTTTTATGAGTTGAGTCGAACACGAATATTGATCTAGAACTGGCCAATCCCCACTAGGTTGGCAATTCGATTAGCCACTTATTTTAAAATGATTAAAGTTTTGTTCACTCGGTAAATAAAATTCTCAGTTAATCAATTTTTGAGTTTAGAAAATTCACAAATTAGAGGGTTGAGGAGAGAGAATGTGGTAAGTAGGTGCTAAATTTATCTTTCAATTTCTTTAAGTCATAATTGTGCTGCGTTCATATTTTGATAATTTAACTAAAATGTAAGTGATAATATTAAGTTTCTTTTTATAAATCGGTTTTAAAGCATTCAATTATATTGTCAAATTCTATAGAAATATCATTAATATTTGTTCTTCATTATTTCTACTCTCTTAAAACAAATTTTTTTTCGATGGCAAGCCATATGACATTTTACATTAGCTCTTAAAACCTTGACTTCGGCTTCCTCCATTAGTAGGGGGTACATGTACTGCAGTTAATTAATAGCAGTTCATCACCTGTTTCCTTGCTTCCCGGTATCTTTGGGTTTCCGCCGTTGTCTTAAGGTCTGGACACCGAATCAGGTGGGTTTCACCATTACCTCCTGTAGGTTACATAGGCGGCATGTGGGATGAGTGGTTACTCCCGATGTGTGAATATGTTTTGCTGTATTCGTGTTTAAATTACATTAAGTGGCGAGTATGCTCACTGATGTCGCTTGAAGCCAAGAGTAAATCAGGAGTTGTTCTGGATCCATTGTAGTGCAAATATGTAGCCGGATCCTCATTGCTATAAATAAGTTCCAGAATGTTGCTGTTTAGCATGTCTTCAATTTCCTTTCCAGCTATGTTTGTATCCTTGTAGCCCCATCTGGTGGAGTGGGCGTTGAAGTCTCCTAATACTCTAGTTTTTTGTGAGATGTTCAGAAAGTCAAAGTTTGGACAATTCTGGGGAGGATTATAGACTGCATATATCTTTTGACATTTCCAAACATTTAATCTTATTATTTCACATTTGTCTTGTGTCGAGCCCATACTCTTGATTAGGTCGTAGTGTGAGGTGAGGCCATCTTTTACTCCAGTTAGAATTCCACTTGCAACTTGCCGGTATTTAGGTAGATTATACAGGGTGTAATAACAACATTTATTGAATTGATTGAATTGGTTCAATTGATGTTAACATTCAATTATTGACGAAATTGGTTCAATTGATGACAACGTTCATTGAATTGATGAAATTGGTTCAAGTGATGATAACATTCAATTATTGACGATATTGGCTCAATTGATGATAACATTCGTTCTAATAATGAAATTGGTTAATTTGGTGATAACATTCAATTATTGAAGAAATTGGTTAATTTGGTGATAACATTCAATTATTGAAGAAATTGGTTCAATTTATTACAACATTCATTGAATTGATGAAATTGGTTCAATTGATTATTACATTCAATAATTGACGAAAATGGTTTAGTTAATGACAACATACATTGAATCGATGAAATTGGTTTAATTGATGATAGCATTCAATTATTGACGAAATTGGTTTTTTTCTTGACAGCATTTATTGAATTGTTGAAATTGGATGAATTTCATTGAATTCATGAAATTTTTTTCAATAGATGATAACATTCAATTATTGACGAAATTGGTTCAATTGATGACAACATTCATTGAATTGATGAAATTGTTTCAATTCTTGATAACATTCAATTATTGACGATCCTGGTCACAAACCATTCATTGCTAGTATTACCATCGGAAGCAAAAGCATGTCAAGGAAAGTGCCAACTAAGCTATCATGGAACTTCAAGAAGGCTGACTGGCCTAAATTCACAAACCTTTTAGAGGATGAACTTCACACAAGTCCCCTCAACTTCAACCAACATCCTGACCAACTTTGCACTGCTATCACGAATAGTATGATCAGATGTGCAAAGAAAACTATTCCCCGAGGAAAAACTAAACACTATCGAGTGTTTTGGTCGAAACACCTTGAGGAACTGAAAAGAAAGCGGGACGCCCTTCGCAACACTGCTGATCAGACTGGAAGAACGGAAGACGTAAAAGCCTGGAGACGACAAACAGCTGTCCTAAGGCAAGCCATCTTACAAGCCGAATGCACTTCTTTCGACAAGTTCATCTCAAATATAAACTATCAAAGTGATAGCCAACGCACTTTCAAATTGCTGGGTAACCTCCAAAACAACAGAGAAAGACCCAAGAAAGAACCGACTCCGAAATAGCTAACTACTTGGCAAGGTTTCGACACCGAAATAGCTAACTGCTTTGCGAGGTTCTATTCGCACAAGCAAATAGCTAACTGCTTTGCGAGGTTCTATTCCCACAAGGACTAGAAAAACACTTTTGTCAGAAAATCTTCAAGAGATTTAAAGATACTTTGTCAGAAAATCTTCAAGAGATTTAAAACTACAAGTAAGAAAGAAAATCTTCAAGAGATTTAAAGATACAAGTAAGACAGTCGTTAAGGAAGACACGACAACACCAAATAATGTACAGTTTGGCGAAATTAAGGAAAACATAGCAACACCAAATAATGTAATCCTGAACTTAGCGAACTTAATGCTGCGATAAAACAGCTCAAGTGCAAGAGGTCAACTGGCAAAGACGGTATTCATCCCGAATTTCTAATTAGAATGGGACTAACAGTCAAGGAAACCATGCTGACGCATCTCAATAAAAGCTGGGAGACTAATCTCGTTCCTTACCAATGGAAAGTTGCCATAGTAATACCAGTACTGTAGCAACTTTGACAACTATAGGCCTATCTCCCTCGCGAGCGTGATGACTTTGACAACTTTAGGCCTATCTCCCTCACAAGCATGTTGGCTTAACTTATGAAAAGAATGGTTATGTGCTGGCGAAACTTATGGAAAGAATGGTTAACAGGAGGCGCACCTATAGACCTTTCTCCCTCACAAGCCTGCTGGCTTAATCTATGAAAAGACTGGTTTACAGGAGGCTGACCTGGTTTCTTGAGACCAACAATATTCTTAGGAGTGAACAAGCAGGATTACAACAATATTCTTAGGAGTGAACAAGCAGGTTTTAGGCCGTAAAGATCAACGAACCAACACGTCAAAGATGCCCTTGATGTACGAAATACTCTTACGGCTGCTTTCGTCGATTTCAAATCAGCATATGACTTAGTATGGAAAGAGAAGCTAATTCTAAAATTGGCAAAGATTGGTATTAAGCATAACATGCTAAACTGGATAAAAGCATTCATTGGACAAAGATCATGTTAAGTCAGATATGGAAATGCTCTATCAAAATCCAATCTTTTACAAACAGGTCTTCCACAGCGAGCTATCACAAGCTGCACTCTTTTCAATGTCTTCATCAATGACATAGCCGAATTGGTACAGACAGTCACTGGCATCAAGTGTTTACTTTATGTTGATGATCTTGTTCTATGGTATTCCGCCCCTAAGAAATAAGTCCAGAAGAGGACAGAAAGTGCCCTAACTTGTGCACTTAAAATAAGAACTGGTGCGACAACAATGGAATGGTAATCAACACCGCAATACTGCAATGGAATGGTTATTAACACCGCAAAAACTGCATTCCAAACTGAATGGTAATCAACACTGCAAAAACTGCATTCCAAAATTTCATTCCAAACATTTTTTGACCCGGCACAGCATAAACCCCCTTCTAAGGTACAAGGATACTACCCTAGAAAAAACCAGTGAGTTCACATATCTCGGGATTCCTTTTGACACAAAGCTAACGTGGAAAAGTCACATTACTGAAATAGCAGAACGAGTCTCCAATAGACTGAATGTACTGAAGCGTCTTGTTGGTAGCGTATGGGGCTGTGTACGCTTAACTCTCAACACCATTTATAAGATGTTTATTCAGCCAATAATGTTGCATTGCTTTGAGCCACTCATTACAGCCATAGAGGTGAAACAAGATGTTTATTCAGCCAATAATGTTGTATTTCTGTAACCCACTCATTACAGCCACAGAGGTGACATTCAACTGTGAGCCACTCATTACAGCCACAGAGGTGACTCTCATATCAATACGAGAAGGCACACAACCAAGCATTACGACTAATTACTAGAGGAATAGACGGCCACAAAACCAAGCATTACGACTAATTAATGGAGGGATACGGCCAAAGAGGTGACTCTCAAACCCCTCGAGAAGGCACACTACCAAGAATTACGACTAATTACTGGAGGGATTAAATCAACACCCATTGATGCAATGCCATGTTCAGGGATAAATCAACACCTATTGATGCAATGCTCCTAGTTACAGGAAGTGCCAACACCCATTGATGCAATGCTCCAAGTTACAGGAAACACATCAATAGGCTCCCTTATCAAAGAGAAGGCCTTGATCCTAACACCACAAGAGGCTCCCTTATCAAAGAAAAGGCCTTGATCCTGTCGATAAGCTACTGTGCATGAAAAGGCCTTGATCCTGTATGAGAAACTACTGCGCACTCATTGGACAATGTATGAGAATCTACTGCGCATTCCCATGGATAAGTTCTTCCAGCACCTATGAGAATAGACCAAGACATCTGAAAACGCAAGCAAATAAGAAAGCCATAGAACTGAAGAAAGCATTACAAATCGATGATGAAAGCCATAGAACTGAAGAAAGAATTACAAATCGATGACGAACCAAAAGGCCTCTTTCTTCCTATGAACCCATTAGCAGACACCGATGTAGTGTGTTGCACCCAACTGCTTGACTTCTTCAGGAAATCAAACCCCCCTCCAGAACAAATGCGCTCACTGGCTCTTGAGAAAATCATTGTCAACTATCCTGGAGATCAATGGCTACAAGTTTTCATTGATGGGTCATACATAGAAAACCAAGCAAACGTTTGTGCAGGTGTTTACTCTGAACTCTTCTCTTTCTACGCAGCAGCGGGACACAATAGATCCGCTTTTGAAGGAGAAATAGAGGCCATTAAGATTGCACTATAGCAATTATGTTGCCTGGATACAAAATTCACCAAAGCGGTGATACTTTCGGACTCACAATCAGCAATAAATCAATTGGAAACAGAGAACCACCCAAAACAGCTGAGATAAAGGAATGCAGAAAACTCTATGAGCTGCTGAGAGAGAAAAACAAAACAGTGGTCCTACAATGGATTCCTGGTCACTGTGGCATTAAAGACAATGAGCTGGCAGGCACACTTGCTAAGAAGGAGACAACGATTTTGCAATGCATGGACCGGCCGATGTCTTTCCACACAATGAAGGCCTTAATCAGAAGAAAATTCACAGATTGGGAGTATACACTCAACCCACATGCCCTCTATGTAACCTACAGGAGGAAATGGAGAAGACCCACCTGGTTCGGTGTCTAGCCCTAAAGACAACGACGGAAAGCCAGAGATACCGAGAAGCAAGAAGACGGCTAATGGACTGCTATTAATTAACTGCTATAAATGTACCCCCTCCCCCACCCTTGGGGGAAGCTGAAGTCAAAGTTTATGGGCTAATAATAAATATCACAAAGCCTGCCATTTGAAATAATAATAATTTCTCATAATTATATATTGCAGAAAGCATCTTTTGAAGAGAGATTTAATGGTCAGAAAATAATAATAGATTAGTTTGTGAAGAGCGGTCCACAATATTTCCTTCATTGACTAAAATATTTCTGAAGTCCAATGGATACCAGTCATGTTAAAGCCGTAAAAGTCTTGAATACTAGTTCATAAAATGTAATTTTATGTTACCTGTTTGGGAAACGGATTGCCTTATTTAATTGAGTCTAAGATAAATATCGTACATTTATCAGATAAAAGATTGCAGCTTTTTCGTTTACGTTTGGGAATTAAATGAATTTCAATCACTAAGAGGACTTTGAAAGGTTAGAAATTTATCTTTAGCCAAGGGATTTAACGTTGTATCACAACTGGAAATTACACTAATTAGTTCCTCACAAATTTCAAGCAAGTTATTTTTAAATAAATTACTTGAGCTCTAATATGGGTTTTATTCCTTTAGGTTTTAAAACTGAAAGTTGATTGAGCATAAAACTGTAAAGTGAATTAAAATTTGGTGTGAGGACATTTTGAAATATTGTGGCATCGCATTCATCCTTCCATCTTATGTACTTCAATTCGAAACCACCCTTCTTCTCTCCATAAATATAATTTTTATTCATTTTTTTATTTCAAATGGCAGGCGTTTTAATAGTTATCATTAGCCCTTTAGCTGACTTCGGGCTTCACAGGGGGAAGGAACATCAAAGTAACAGAAAGTCGAGGTTTCAAAGGGGGAAGGAACATCAAAGTAACAGAAAGTCGAGGGGTGGAGAACAAAAGAGTGATTTACAGATGTGAAGAGACAGACATGAAAAGACCAGACATGAAGGCCGAGAAAAGGTAGGTTGAGTACTGCGCCAGAAATCAATAGCCAGTTAATAGACTTTTTTGCCGTATGAGTATACATTGCCCAGCGGTTTATAGACTTTTTGCCGTATGAGGTCACGTTTCCAAGCCATTTAATAGACTTTTTTGCCGTATGAGTATACATTGCCCAGGGCGTACCACGTGGAGGTAAGTCTATCGCACACCCCACATTGCTATTTCGCACAACGTGGAGGTAAGTCTATCGCACACCCCATTCATTAAATAACACCACGTGGAGTTAAGTCTATCACGCACCCCATAAACATAATTTTAATATGTACTATATGCTTCAGCTTTAGTAAAATATCCAAAACACTGAAATAAATTCCCCATTATCTTTACACCGATCTGGTCTACTGGTTATCTCCTGTTAACTTCGGATTGCAGACGTACAACACATTACCAAATTTAGTTCACTTAAAGTAAACTTAATCGATGAGGGCACTTCAATGACCTAATTTTGATAATTTTTTCATGGCTCAAAGTGTTTTGATCTTGCTCAACTACTTCAAGGAAGCTGTGTGGATTCACTGAGTAGCTCAATTTTGTATTCAAGACAAAGTTACTCAGGTTTGCTAAAAGTAACTAAAGTGCACAATAGCTCAGCAAGTTCCAATCAGTAGTAAGCTTTAGTTTTAAGGCCTCTTTTGAGAGGAAAAATCTAATTGATATTGGAATATAAACAATTTATTGCACAAAAAGCTTGTTTTAAATAAGTAGATCATCATGTCGACAAGGATGGCATACATGCAATTGGTTTATTTGGTAACCCTATGAATGGCAATGGCCAGTGATTTCAATTATTTCCAAAGCGTCTCTTTTACCGCACTTTGAAAGCAAAGAAAATATTTTCCTGACTTCAACTTACTGTAACCTCAGAAATTTTCAAATAAGAAGCCATAAATAAGCCAAACAAGATGTAGGTGGCTACGACACACAGAAGTATATATATATTTCAAATGGCAGGCGTTATGATAGGTATCATTAGCCCTTTAGTTGACTTCGTGCTTCACAGAAAGGAAGAGGAACGCCAAAGTGGCAAAAAGTCGAGAGGGGGGGGGGACAGAATAATGATTCACAGACGTAAAAGAGACAGACACAAAGGTAGAAAAATGTGAGTACTGTGGAATTAGTCGAATATGAAATGCGGCGGGGTCTTGGTAGTTTGAAGTCAGAAGTCAACTGCCGATTAATAGACTTTTTTGCCGTATGAGCATACGTTGCCCAGGGTGCACCACGTGGAGGTAAGTCTATTGCACACCCCTACACACAGAAGTTGAAAAGACAATCAGCCTGGGGAACGACACTGAAAAAATAATTTAAACCCGAATTTGAAGCATTTCTAAAATAGTTCACCCCCAAAACAAGAAAGAGTAACCCCTTCTCTTTAAAAATCACGCTAGAAACCGAATTGGACGCGAGAGCCTACAATTTGATATCGGTTAACTACCCAAAGAACTTAAAGTTGTTGCAGTTAATCCTGGATTTAAAAAATGATAGATATAGCAAATCATGTGCAAACGCTTTAGCTTAAAACCGAAATGACAAGGAAAAAGCTCTCCTGGAAAAGGCAAAGACTGCGATAATTTTGAGATTTCCTATTCACCGCGATGGCTTCCTGTTCTCGATATGATCTTGAAGGTGTTGATTTCCATCTTACTAATCTAAATCACTTGGAGTACTATGACGCAAATATCTACGCAAACTGTCTGTCCAGGTGAGCTGTCAGGAGAGGCGCTATGACGTGCCCCCTCCAAACCTCCACCATTTTAACACCATTTCTTTATATTTCCAGATAGTACACTTTCCATTCTAAATCACATTTTATCTCAAAATAAACCGCCAAACCAGCCCTGTCCACTCGGTCCCCCCTGCTCACTCTCTTGCCCCCCCCCTCCCCCTCCCCCTCGTCACCCCGTTGTCGTGATAAAGTTAGGTAGAAGACAGCAGGAAAGGCCTGTTGAATAACAAGGAGGAAATCAGCTGACTCAAATTCTGGCCCGTTTATCTAAATTATTAGACTGTACTGGACAGACCAACTGATTCCATATCTCTAGGACTTCCAACGGGTTCAGTAAAGAAGGTTTATTTCAACAGTTTCAAAAAGAGGGGAACAGACGGAAACTATTTACATCCTTCTTCCTATGACTTAGAACATACAATAAAATCTATTTTACTATTTCCGAACTAATTAATTTCAACTTTGATATAAAAAGCTGTAGTCACAAAAAAAACCTGCCACTAAGAATCTGCGAATTGAATAATTAACTGCTAGTTTTACATTCTACTCTTCGTACTCACATGTTTTTCTATTTTTAATATTCGTTAAATCGGGTTGTGCGATAGACTTACCTTCACGTGGTGCACCCTGGGCAACGTATACTCATACAACAAAAAAGTATATTAACTGGCAGTTGGCTTATCACTTCAGCTACCATCACCTCACTATATGTCATATTCGACCCCTTCCGCAGTACTCATTTCACCTTTTTTCTACCTTTATGTCCGTCTCTTTTACATCTTTGAAACACCCTTCTTTCCTCCCCCCTCTCGACTTTTTTTCACAGTACTCACCTTACTTTTTCTCTATCTTTGTGTCTGTCTGCCTCTTTTACATCTGAAATCGCTCCTCTACTTTTGTGTCTGTCTGTCTCTTTTACATCTGTGAATCGCTCTTCAATTTCTACCTTCGTGTCTGTCTGTCTCTTTTACGTCTGTGAATCATTATTCTCACTTTGTGTCAGTCTGTCTGTCTCTTTTACATCTGTGAATCACTCTTCTGTTTACCCCTCTCGATTTTTTGCCACTTTGATGTTCATTTTCCTTTCCCACCCCTTGACTTTCTTCTACTTTGATGGACCTTCCCTCTTCTACCCCTCGACTTTCTGCTACTTTGATGCACCTTCCCTCAACCCTTGGACTTTCTGCTACTTTGATGAACCTTCCTTCTGTGAAGGCCCCTCGGCTTTCTGCTACTTTGATGAACCTTCCCACTGTATTTCTGCTACTTTGATGAACCTTCCTTCTGTGAAGCCCGTTTTCTGCTTCTTTGATGAACCTTCCCTCTGTGAAGCCCGATTTAGCTAAATGGCTAATGATATCTATCTCATTTGCAAATAAAGCTAAATGGCTAATGATATCTATCAAAACGCCTGCCATTACCGAAGTCAGTTAAAGGGCTAATGATAGCTATCAAAACGCCTGCCATTTGTATAAATAATTAATGATAACTATCAAAACGCCTGCCATTTGAAATAAAAGGACTAATGATAGCTATCAAAACGCCTGCCATTTGAAATAATTAATGATAACTATCAAAACGCCTGCCATTTGATATAAATAAATTTTCAAAAATCCCTTATATGTTCTATAATTATATTTACCGCAATGCTTTGTGAGCATACCAAAAACAAGGTGGTTTTTGAGTTCCATATTTTGTATCCCGAGTGAAATATTTAACGCTATTCCGACTAACCCCAAACGATATTTTAATTAGTGCAATTGAAGGAGTGCAAATAAGCCCCGTAGAAAGAAAGTGCAAAAATTTAGACCAAAAGTCTTGCTTTGTCTGCAAGAAAGCTCCTTTAAAATAAACTAATTGCCTTTTTCCCAACTTGTGTATGCCTATCATATCATATCAAAATTGCTATTCTTAGTCAATAAATATATCCGATATCCAAATTGACTTCACTTGGTGGTATTTTAAATTCTAACCCCCGCACATATAATATTTCTTAAAGGTGAAAAATGTGACTGCTCTTTTCCGGGATAAAGGAGAAAGAAGAACAAGATTACTGTGATATAAAGGGATTTTATCTCCTTGAAGTGCAAATCTCGAGAGTGTCGATTTCTTTGTTATTTTTGTAATATTATAAATTTCAATTTCAGTTTTTCAGTACTTTAGTTCCTTGTTGGGAACACAACGCTAACGTGGCTGAATCAAGGAACATAATGCTTGCCCGAGCATTCTGGAACTTGGGGTCCTAGTGCTGATCGTGTTAGGGAGTAAATGAGGTTGCGAGTACAGAGACCTCTCAGCCAATCAACAGCCAGTAAACAATGCAGGGTCAACGTACCTAAAATTGCATTTAATGACTAAGCCCTGTGTCAGTGACATCATACATCAATTTAGGTAGCTGCATCATCAGTTACACTGTATGGAAGTTTAAGTTCACAATTTTCGGAGCCTATTGACTTATATTATATTTAAATGTTGATAATTTTTCTTCTAATAGTCACTAGGGTTTAATTAAAGTATGTTAAGTTCGACCGATTAAATTATATTACCATTATAAGAGTTTGACTGATTACGAAATATACAATATATATAGCTTAGCTAATCCTGGGAGCCATTACAAACTAGGAGAACTTACTATGTAGATTATTGAACATATGTCATGGCATGCTAGTGTAGCAACCTGTTCTACTTATACCGTACATTCATCGAAAAATTTGATGGTATTTTGGAAGGTGATATTTTACTAACCAAGGTTAATTCTTTTTTCATGGATTGCCTTACTGTAACCCATTACCAATGGAGCTCAATGATAAAAAAATGACCACCCCCCCCCCCTATTTAGCTCAGTTAACAAAGTAAAATTAAAATTTTGTCTGAAGTTTTCTACTTTTTTTGTTGGATGTGATCTTTTCTAAAAAGTTCACTATACATTGATGATTATCCAATAGCGCAGGAGGATTTCTCAAATTATTTACTATTTTGATAAAAAATAATATATGTGTGTACTTGGGTCTGTTGGTATTATTTTCAGTCGTCCAAGATGGAGACTATTGCTTGGCCAATTGTCCAAGCCTGTAAAATCGGGTTATTTGAAGGCTAGTGGTGCAGACGCTCGTTTCTTCAATTTAACAACACATTACCATTGCGAAATGCAATTTGGTTTTCTCTCTTGACCACCTGATTGGGTTGTTATTTGGAATAGTCTCGAATTTTATTGTGTGAGTCATATTTTAAACAAATAGGTATCATGTTTAGGTGTTCAGGTATTTCCATCTTTATCAGGAACAGCTTTCTCTTTGAGGCGAGATGTAAATATCAGGTAATATTTCACCATCACTGATTAGGAGAAATTAAAATAATCCTCGCAAATTCTTCATGAGTTGAAAATGGAAAATCAATCAAAGTTCTTACTTATATTGTTCACGTTTATTTTCTGCGTTGAAATAATGCTACGCGCAGAGCCAATTTTGCTAAATCATGTTGATTAATTAAATAAATTGGCAGATTTGAGGAGAAAACACTGGGGTACAAGTAAATGCAGAGGGGTTCTCTTTCAAAAGAGGATGTTAAAAGTGGATAAATTACAGAAAGATTGTGGGGGTGAAAGGGAAACGAGTACCTTGAAATGGGAGCAGCTTTGAGTCAGCAAAGTTTCCTTGAAGGTGTTCTCAGTACATTGAAACATAGTGTTCAATGTCCGAACACAAATAATATCATGAAAAGAGCTCGAAAAAATATAATAAAATTGCTATAGAAATTCATTAATTTCGCGCTCGGGAACATTCGACGTGATTTCAGGCCTTATATAGAATTTCTTTCAGTTCCTTAGCCAGTCAATGTGACACAAGTTTTTGAAGATTTTCATTTCGAGGTTAATTGTTTACCAAATGTTGTGTAAAACAGTTTCAATCGGAGAACACGTGAACAAAAATTTGCATGATATTTTTAACAAATGCAATTTTTTAATAGTGTCATTTCATTCAAGACTAAAGAAATCACGTGAAAATAATCACAGTTGAAGTAATCTGTTGGAAATGAGAAGAAAAATACCTCATCCAATTAGATAAAAGTTTTCTCAGGTAAACTAATATTTTGCTTCATATCAACGACTATTGATCGCCCTATTCTACAATACTAGAAGAGGACTGTTGAGTCAATTGAATTTTTTATTTAACTTAAATATCGAGATTTAGCTGTTTTAAGTGAAGTATCTTACATCTGTTATTTGTCTGGAAAAATTATAGTGGGTCGATTCAGTGATAAGTTGGCTTTCCACCTATCAATCACCAACTTCAACTTTAATGTCTCATATACTATGACAACAGTTAAATCGCTGTGGAATAAGGTGACTATTTGCTAATGTTAACCATTAAGTGAAGCCACCGGGAGGATATTTCTGGTCATACGAAGGACTTTTGCTTGGTATCCGCCTAGAAACTTTAGGTGTGTGACAAATATAAATTCTTTCAATGAAACAATTGTTTTATTGTTTATTAAACAAGTTTCCAACCTCAAATGAGGCATTATATTGCAGAGCCCAAATGCGTTTTCTTTTGAAACAGTTGGCGCACATGACACAAAGATGTGCTTAAATCTTTTCTCCAATCAGATTATGCTCTTCTCACATTTGTCTCGACTCGTTAACATACCAATAGAAAAGATCTAATTCCAGGGAAAGATACATTTGGATCGGTATTGATAACATTAAAAAAGGATCTTGGCACATTTACTCCCCCAGATATACTTTCATGTTGCTCTATTAACATTATTAAAAATCCAAATTTTGGAATCAGACTGGTTCTAATTGGTCGGTTTTTTATCGTACGAATTGAAACACTTATAAATACCGTTACCTAATAAGGAGCGGATATTTCAAGCACATTGAAGCTTTCATTTCCATATCGGTTCTAATAGTAAAATCATATTGAAATTTGGGCCTATGGTTACTTTGGAATGCTCAAACAAAACATTTTAAAGAAGTTACTTAATCAGTTTCCAAAAGGATTGTATTATAAGTGAGAATAAATGTTATTGTGATTTATTCTCACCAAGGCTACTTTTGAATACAATGGAATTAATGCCGCATCAAATTTCATTAATCTTTGTTGAAACTAGAATACATGAAATATAAAATATCTTAAAATGCTTAGAATTCATGGGTAATCAAAATGTTCACTTCTTTGGCATGGGTTATAGATAGCAATATAATCATTATGTAAAAATTCTAATTCGACTAAAAGCTGGGAACTAAATTCTTTTACTCCTGATATATTTAAAATATATAAAATGCGCATTGACTGGTTATATCTCGGTTTCAAGTTACCTAATTTGAAATCCTGGTTCCCAATTTTGTAAAAAATTTGAAACATGTTTCTATTTATTCTTGCACAAGACCTTCATTGTTATGTAGATTGAACTTCTTTAAGTTAATAATATTATGTGTTTAATACCCCACACAAGGGTCTGATTTCAGATGCAGATAGGAATTAATATAAATATATCTTGTAGTAGTAATGATTATATAAATTTAGAGTCTATAATCTATGATTCACAAAATGCTGGCAAAGTGGTCGAAGTGGCAAGGCTAACTGAGGGCCCCTATGTTAACATTACGATTCATTAAACCCAATCCATTTTCAGTTAGCCAAAATTGATTAAAGGCACAAATTCAAATCTTTATTTTAGAATTATTTTTAAAACTTTCTGTTAATATATGTGTGGAGTAAATCTTTAACCTTTTTCTGCCACTACTTTTTAATTTTAGGGGGGGGG